TCGTAGTCATAATACGCAGCTATGGCTAGCAATATCCGAATAGATTTAAGCATTGCTACTGGTGAAAAAGTTTCCTCATAATCAATTCCTTGTTTTTGAGTATAACCTTATTTCCTGAATCTCATTTGGCTCGTTTTTTTCTTTTGCAGAAAAGACTGGACTGTGCAGGGGTCACGAGATGGTGTTGGAAACTCTCCGGTCAGTAGGCTCCACATTGGAGGCCTGTACACCCCGCCAGATGTACAGTCTCTTTGGTGATATGATAATATTATTAGATAGAAGAAAAGAAAAAAGAAGAAAAGGAAGGAAATGAGTATAGTACGAGGGAGCCTGAGTGCACCTCTTCTGACGAGGGAAAACATAAAACCTCTTTTTGAGAGGATTTATAGAACATTTGCATCTTCCTTCTTTTGCCGTACAAGGGAGATTTACTTTTAGCATGATAGCACTTTTTAAATGGAATGCATTTCTGTTTGTCAGGTCTAATTTGGGTATTAACCGGACTCTGAGTGTTCTTTTGTTCTGATCTGACTGGAAGAGAGGGAGACACTGACTTTTTGTGAATATATGATGGTCATGGCAAGTTTTTTTAACGACTTCCACGCCATTTGTATCCATAGATTGCGTAATAATACAATCGACTTGTGTCGTGTTTGCTTAATTTTGTGCATTTTAGGGTCTTGATTCTTGATAGATAATGAAATGCCTCCTGAAATTTTTTATACATTGCTTGTTGGGTAGAAATTGGAACACACCATTTATGCTGCCTGCTTGAATTGAAACTTGGTTGAAGTATTTTAATAAGACACTGAAATTGATTTTATGGTCTGAAGGTGTTGGGCCTAAGTGATGTTGCTGCATATTAAATTCCATCCAGTTAAAGTAGTTGTCTAGATTTAATTTAGTTGATGGGTTTTTTAAATGTTATGAATGGGTGGATTCTTTTGTCTTTTTTATTATTATTATTATTATTATTATTATTATTATTTATTATTGACCTCATTCACTGTCACTGAGCAAAAATCTGCCACAATCAACCAGTAGGTACACATTATTACATAAAACAATCAAAACACTTTAAACAAATTGCAGCGAACAATGGGAATCTCATTCAATCTCATTCAAAAAAAAACACACACACACACACACACACATCCAAATCAACACTAGAATAAACTTACATAATCAGCTCAAGATAATTCCACTTGGGCCTCTGCAACTTGAGACGGTACAAACTCGGGCTCCACCAGCTCCTCCCGAGGCCCGTCCCCTTGCCACGTCCACACGATGTCTTTCAAACACGGCCTAATCTCTTCTTTCATCACCTTCTGATACTCCAACGTGTCCCCATTCGACTTTCTCATCTCCACCAAGTGAAAATCCCGACCCACTTCGAATAAATCCGCATCTATCGACAAGGCCCCTGTCCTCCCTTCTTTAACCCTCTCGATTCTCACAAACCCTCCATTCTTCTTCATCACCTTCATCTTCAAGCGCTGGGCTAAACCCTCCAATTTCGAAACAATAATCTTGGCCGGTTGGTTAGAAGTAAACTTTACCTCTTTCATTCGATCACGGTCCTCAAACATGCCCGAAAGATCAAAACCGGCAGATAGTGAGATGATTTCAAAGGCATTTAAATTCACCGGCTTTCCAAGTTCACCCTTTTCATCCTCATCCTCAAATACTTCCTTCACGTTAACATCACGGCTCGTGACAAAATCATCGGCAGCTATTTTCGCAGCCTTCGGATGAAACCCTTTTCGAAACCAAGAATTCTCCATGATCTTTGATATAGTTATCCTGTTACTCGGATTTGGGTCAAGAATCTTCGAAATCAGCCTGCGGGCTTCAGACGAGACCCAGTTCGGGTATTTGAACTCCCCTTTGCTTATTTTCCTATACATTTCCATTAAATTCGAGTCGTGAAAAGGGAGCTCACCCGACAAAAGAACAAACAAGATGACCCCACATGACCAAATATCGGCTTTCGAGCCATCGTAACCTTTCCGGCTAACAACCTCAGGTGCCACATAAGCAGGGGTCCCACAAGTGGTGTGTAAAAGCCCGTCTTGCTTTCTCGACTCGGAAAGGGCGCTAAGCCCGAAATCCGATACTTTCAAATTTCCATTTTCGTCCAAGAGCAAGTTCTCGGGCTTGAGGTCCCTGTGGTAAATTCCCCTGCTGTGACAAAAATCAACGGCACTAATAAGCTGCTGAAAGTATTTTCGGGCAGAATCGGGTTTCAGTTTTCCCTTGGCCACCTTGTTGAAAAGCTCCCCGCCTTTCATATATTCCATCACGAAGTATATTTTCGATTTGGTGGCCAATACTTCGTAAAGCTGCACGATATTCGGGTGCCTGGCGAGGTTCATCGTGGAGATTTCCCGTTTGATTTGCTCCATCAGACCCACTTTCAAAATCTTATCTTTTTCAATCACCTTGATAGCTACACTGCTCCCGTTTTCGATATTCCTTGCGTGATAAACCTTGGCAAACGTGCCTTGTCCGAGCAATTTGCCAAACTCGTATTTTTGCATCAAGACTCCTCTTTTTCCTTCCATTTCCGACTAGAAATTTAATTAAATATAACAAAAAAAAAAAGGAAAAGCTATTTTTTATCTGCGAAATAGAGAATTTGTTGCTTTTCTCAAGAATGCAGTAGTGACTCAACCATCCTCGTACGAGACGATTTTATCCTTGAGATATTTGGCCAAAGCTGGTTTTTGAAAGAGGGTGTATTTAGAGATGCAAGTTACGAATCCAATCTCATCAAGGATAAAAGAAGGAGGCCCGGATAGAGCTCCAGCCTCGTAAAAGTCAGAGAAAGCCTGTCTATCCAGCAAGCACATCTTTCAGCATTCCCTGGCCTTTTTTTTTTTTTTTTTGTTTCGAACTAGAGAAAATCGAGGGAGATTCAGTAATATCAAAACCGAAGCCTTGACAGCAAATATTGAAAAGGCTCCACTGTAGATGGAGGAGATGCGAACCTGAAAATCATATGAAAATTTTACCATCAGGGAATAAGAAAAAAAAAATGGAAATATTGGGTTGCAACTAACAAGAAAGACGATTTTCGGCATCTCTAAGGTAATAAGTATAAAATACATTTGCATTGAGGGCAAATTTTGGAGATTAAAAAGGAAATCCCAACACAATTATCCAGCCCATTCGACAGAGCCAAAAGATTCACACGAGCTATAAAATCTCCAAATGAAAAAAAAAAATAAAAATCCCAAGACAACAAATTTTCTTGAAGTTCATGCTTCTTCTTAATCACAATAGTTTCAAATTCAGCCATAATAGCAGCTATTGCTAGCAATTCAACAGAGTCAAAAGATTCACACGAGCTATAAAATCTCCAAATGAAAAAAAAAAAATAAATAAAAAAAAATCCCAACACAACAAATTTTCTGGATATTCATACCTCTCTTAGTCACAATAATTTTCCAGTAAATCACAGTAGCAGCTAATTGTAATTCAACAGCTACAAAAGATCCACAAGCTATCAAATTCCCAGGAGAAGACACAGTTCTAAGCAAAAGCACAGAAAATGAGCATCTACACTGAATCAACAGATAAAAAAGCAATCTTTATTTCAAAAAACAATTCTATAGCTCAATAGATGCAGAACCCAGATAAAAAAATAATAAAAAAAAATATATAAAACGAGAAATTTGAAGAAAAAAAAAAAGGCATATACGGACATGAATATTCATAAAAAAATCCGAGCTACAAATGAGAAAGAAATCAAATAACTAAAAACGACAAGCAGCCCATGAACAAGTACACAGATAAATAGAGAGATGCAACATTTTGAGTTACCTTTTGAAAGAAAAAAGATCAATTTTGCAGGACTCTTTGAGCAACCAAAATTTTCAAGAATTTATGTTGATGTGAACGAGGAGATTTATTTATGCATAATAAAGAAGCCCTTCTTTTTATAACTGCGCTGTCCACAGCTAATCATTTTATCGGCGGATTAAAATAAATAATCCTATGGTATTAAATAATGACGTTTGCAAATGAATTTTTTATTTTATTTTATTTTTTTTTTTTTT